CAACAAAATGGCCGTGCTGCCATTTGGTCATGGTCCAAAAAACTGCGTTGGTCAACGTTTCGCTGTTCAGGAAATTTATCTGGCCACTGCTAAGGTATTTAGATTATTTGGTGGCTCAGCACATTGATTCTACAGCTGTGAAATGTGAATGCGTTATCAGAGAAATGGCAGTTAATTATTCAGATAGATGGCCAGACCCAAAATTCAGAAAAAATTGCCTGTCCAACTATTAAGAGAAATAGCCAATCCCAGTATTCAGAGATGACCAGTCTCAGTATTCAGAGATGACCAGTCTCAGTATTCAGAGAAAAGGCCAATCCCACTATTGAAAGAAATGGCCAGCACCAGGAATTAGGGAAATGGCCAGTCTAAATATTTAGAGACATGGCAAGTCCCAGTTTTCAGAGAAACGACAAGTCCGAATATTTGGAGAAATGGCCAGTCCAATAATTCAGAGAAATAGCCAGTCCCAGTATTCAAAGAAAGTACCAATCCCATTATTCATTTCCGTACTTAAGAATTTTGCATCATGTAATTACGTCCATTTTGTTAAAAGCATGAAGATGAAACACTGAAATTTGAGAGCATTAACGGGTACCTAACTTCATTTTCGAATCATGTTCAATCTATTGATTATCAAAAACTATGAGTCAACGTTAATTTTAACAGAGAATCATTGCCGTGACAACTTACATAGTAAGCAGACATGTCTGTTTTTATTTACAAGTTTTAAAACATTTTATTGTTTGATACATTAATAAAGTTAATTCTTTTCTTTAAAACAATCAATCTATCAAATCAGCTCTTAAGCAGTTGTCCTTACAAAGAACATCAGCTCTTAAGCAGTTGTCATTCCAAAGAACATCAGCTCTTTAACAGTTGTCATTCCAAAAAACATTAACTCTTTAGCAGTTGTCCTTCAAAAGAGCATTAGGTCTTAAGCAGTTGTCATTACAAAGAACGTCAGCTCTTTAGCAGTTGTCATTTCAAAGAATATCAGCTCTTAAGCAGTTTTCATTCCAAAGAATATCTTCTCCTAAGCAGTTGTAATTACAAAGAATATCTGCTCCTAAGCAGTTGTCATTACAAAGAATATCTGCTCCTAAGCAGTTTCCCATTCCAAAAACCTTCTACTCTTAAGCAGTTGCATATTTCAAAGTACATTAGCTCTTTAGCTGTTGTCATTCCAAAGAACATCAGCTCTATAGCAGTTGTCATTCCAAAGAACATTAGCTCTTAAGCAGTTGTCATTACAAAGAGCATCAGCTCTTAACAGTTATTCATTCCAAAGAACTTTTACTGCTGCAATTAAAATAAAACAAAGAAAAAAACTCCATGCTCAACATTATGTTAAGATATTTTTTTCATCTGTTTAGGTTCTCCAAAAGATGAAGATCGAATTAGAGCCCGAATCCAGGAACACAAAGTTCAAGTACACACTTTTCATCGAACCAGAAAAACCTTTGAAATTCAAATATTCAAAACTTTAAAATGTCATTGTCGTAAAGGAAAAATAAGTCTTCTACCAAAAAAAATAAATCCCTTTGATCGATTACAAAAATAAATAACATAGTTAAATCATAAATATGGATTTCTTGAAAGGTAACACCCATACACCCCAGACCTTTCTTAAACACAAAATCCCATTTCATCAATTCAATATAACGAATAAAGTTTTGTTGTGAATTACATGCATTATAAAAAAGAAAGAATTGATGTTTTATAGTACGATACTCGTACCTATACTTGTGTTTACTTTATGGAAAACAAAAATGGTTAACTTTTTTAAAATTGTTTTCAAGCCTGCACTAATAGTAAAATTACAAAGAAAGTATGTTCATAGGAATTTACAAATTATAATTGCTATTTTAAAAAAAAAAAACAACACCTTCAGCGTCGTTGTTAAGCACATGCAGACAGACGGGATGAAATAAAAAAAATAACAATTTTAACATGCGGAAAACACATGAGAATCAATGAATTTATATTTTAAAAAATGCCCTCGTTCTCCATAAAAGTTAAAATATATTTGATACTATTTTAAATTGAGTAAACATTATTTTAAGAAATAATTCAGTTTGATTTGGCATAATAAGACATGGATGGTCTACAAATTTCCGTAGGCGACGCTGTCTTAGAATTAACCACCCACAGTAGACTATCTAACAGGAAATCTTGTATATAAAGCTCAGTGTGATTATGTTTGCATGTTTTTATTTTAATTGGTTAATTTATGACAAGAAGGGGGAAAAAAAACAGTGGATCCCAAACAAATTTAAATGGTCATGGACTTTCTGATCTACATGCGGCGACACGAAAGTTTGGTCAAAATCCAGTTATATCAGCATTTCCCAGACTTTTAAGTTTGGTGGACCGGCGGACAAGTCTCCCATTGGACCAAGGCCCGGAGGACAAAACTTCCATTGGACCAATCACCTGCGGACAAGTCTTCCATTGAACCAATGACCGGCGGACAAGTCTTCCATTGAACCAATGACCGGCGGACACGTATTCCATTGAACCAATGACCGGCGGACAAGTCTCCCATTGGATCAAAAACCGATTTAAGATTTAAAAAAAAACGAAAAAACTTTTCCTATTTTAAATTGAAGTTAAGTATGTCATTTAACATTTTGTTAAAATCCGTAATCAACCTATATTAACCCATTATCAACCAATATTAAACTATTATCAGCCTAGATTATACCTACTAACAATTTAATTCTAGGCGTTAATATATATTTTTTAGTTTGTTAAAACAACAACAACAAATTCAATAGCTGTTCTGGACATGTCTGTTCGTTAAGCTTTAGTTTGGAATAAAACACCTTTTCTGTTCCTGTGACTGTTAATTAGAAATGTGGGCCTTAATTATCATTGACAGGCCAATCAAATCTTGCCTTGATCGTGGACAGTGCCACACGCACAGGAGAACAAACACTGATCCTGCCCTTTGTCTTCATATTTTCCCATAAATGAAAAGCCACTTTTGCCGATGCCGCTTAATGGAAATGGTAGAAGAACTTTTCACGGCGATTTCAGCATGTTAAGGATATTATGGTTAAAGATATGTATTTTGTGGTGTATAATAATAATAATAATAATAATAAGACGTCTTATATAGCGCGGTACCCCAGCAGCCTAGGGCTGGGCTCACCGCGCTGTACATACAATTTTTATCAAAAGAGACATAATCATGACATTAAAATAAAATACATTTATGAAATAAAGAACAGCAAGGTATATTCACCCACCCCACCACATAACTTTTACAAGGCAAACCATGGATGGCAGCCAGCAAGATCGTTTATCGGTCAGAGGAGGGGAATGAGTCAGGGTAGTATAATTTAAAAAGATATGTTTTTAGTGCAGTTTTGAAGGCCAGGGTGGTTGGTATATTGCGTATGCATGTTTAATGATTTTTTTCCTTCCAGAAACGTGAACTTTCAATAATAAATTAATATCAGGCTATGGTGAGCTTTAAAAGATATGTTAAAATAACGTTTTAAACTATTGGTAGCATCATACTCTCCAAATAAAAGGAAATACGCGTTGAATTCATTGTACGCTAATAAAGTTAATACAGATGGTAGGGCATTAGGTAAGGGCATTTTTAATTAGAATTATCACATAGTTAAGGGGGGGGGGGGTACATAAAGGGTACTTTGGCCTAAAAATGGTTTTCCTGTCCTGGGTTTTTAAAATGTAAATTTTGTTATTAACTAACTTTATGTATTATTTGTGTAGGGAAGGGAACTTTGCAACTATTTTATTTCCAGCCCAATCGGCTCTTCTGATTCTGATAGGGTACGTTGTTGCATCCGTGTATTGGCATATGTGTAACAGTTTGGTAAACGATGCGGCTATCCTAACGGCTCCCAGCGGGTGCCAGGGCAGCCTTGAAACTCTCGATTGATGTCGAGTCCACTGCGGCATGGTCCAGTCGGTTGTTCGTGGGAAGAATGATTGTTTATATTGGACTGCGTTACACCGAGGCGCAATGAGGCATTTATCATTATTACGGATGTAACTGCTCATGGAGTTGGCAGAGGTGAAGTCAGTGTTTTTGAGCGTTTGGCTCTACGCCGCTGAATTAAATTTTTTGATTCATTTTATTAGTAGATTTATGTCTCAAAGGCCCAAAGTGTTATACATGTAAAATTTTAGATCCATTTTTTATTTTTCATGTGGTATATGGTATATTCATTATTTATAGGACTCTAAATTTCCACTCGGCTAACTTTTCTGTCAAAATTTTATTAATAACAACAGATATGACTCGTTAGTGTCACACTTACAGTGACAGTAGCAAGCGCTGCAAGAAACTCAGCAATGAAAATATTGTGCTTTATAATTGTTTGTACGTCTCGAATTTGAATAAACGATATATTTTTGTGTTCACTAAAACTCTCAAATGTTCATTTATGTATCGTTCTGGTATTATAATTATTTATTTTGTGTAGAAGTTGAAAATTTGTCTGTATATCTGTTTGTACCCAATACATTGCTAGGTGGCTTCATGGAGCTTGATCAACCTTGGCCTCTATAGTTATTACACTTATTTATCCAGAAGGAATTAATGACGAGGTTAAAAATAAAAAAAATCCTGTTCAGAGCCAGTGGCCCTTATTTCGTTTTACATTAAATACATTTTATAAAGAGAATTAAAATAAGTAGATAGATTTAGATTTGCACCTACGGGTACACATGCAGTGGAACATCCATAGTGAAATACTGGACGGGTTTCTTTAACTTATAATATTCACAACTTTCGGGGGTAAGGAGCCCTAATTTAACTGTTCGATATATGAGCCATGCAAATATCAGTTGGCAAACAAGCCTTAGATTACGATATAGGGCTCTAGGGGGTGTGTTGAATGTGGACCAAAGTTGGAAAGCACACCCTTAATACATCATTAAAAGTAGCGTGTGATTGCAAACTAACAATATCCACTCCTGAGGCCGTATGTGTCTAATATCCACTCCTGAGGCCGGATGTGTCTAATATCCACTCCTGAGGCCGTATGTGTCTAATATCCACTCCAGAGGCCGGATGTGTCTAATATCCACTCCTGAGGCCGGATGTGTCTAATATCCACTCCTGAGGCCGGATGTGTCTAATATCCACTCCTGAGGCCGGATGTGTCTAATATCCACTCCTGAGGCCGGATGTGTCTAATATCCACTCCTGAGGCCGGATGTGTCTAATATCCACTCCTGAGGCCGGATGTGTCTAATATCCACTCCTGAGGCCGGATGTGTCTAATATCCACTCCTGAGGCCGGATGTGTCTAGAATTATCCAGAAAGTTTTATATACCGTTTTATACCTGGATATACATATTTGCAGTTTGCAGCCGTATGAAGTGGGTTGGGGTGAGGCAGAGGTCCGTCACGGGTGTAAAAGGGTGGCACGGACCCCAGCGACGCAACGTGCTACATACAGTGCTCAGTTCAAAACGCACCCGCTTGCAGCGCCACTGTCGGCTAGTCCTGTAGGCACACTACACACAACATTAAGTTTGCCCAAGTTGCGTTGACCTGGTTTGCACTGACTGCTCCACGGTGTGAGACACTTCGGATGAGAACCCGTTCGTGTTGCCAGTTGATGCCTTATCAGTGGATGGTTGTCAGTGGATTGATGTCCGTGGATGGTTATTGCTGATTCTTCTTCTGTTAACGGTAAGGGGCCTACTACTTACTTCTATGTGCGTTTATCGACTAACCTGAACACATAATGACCAACACTGATCTCGACCTCTTGCTGTCATCGTATGTTGTATGAATAATGCCTGCGAAAACTGACAACAGCTGCATGATGACCTTCTTTTCCTTTATTTACTTAAATTCCAAAAATTAAATTTCAATAAGGCTTAGACAAACGTTAACAGTTTTGTGGAAGAAAAACTAATGACAGGGTCATTTGTAGATGATTAATTTTGTTTAGATTTTTGTTCAAAGTAAAATCTTGAGCCCTAGGTTTATTCAATTCATTCTTTTGTGATACCGGTATTCATTTTGATTTATCATAATCCTGCTCATCAAAGTCATCAATGTTGGCAAAGGCAAAGGTGAATAATATTGCATAATCCTAGGAAATTGTTATATTTCCATTATTATTTTGTTTGATTATTTTTTTTCTAAATAAGGAAAGGTAGGCTTTTTCAATGTGTTCATTTCTTGAACTTCATCACGATCATCACCATAAACATTGTTATTGACGAAATAAGATGCGTGTGCATGGATCACGAGTTCGTCTAGTAATTATGGAGTAGGCCTCCTTCAGACCTGTTGACTTTTATGATATTGGCGACCAATTTACCTCATTTGCACCCTCTTCCTTGCCTACATCAATGACCTGCCACAGGTGCTAACGACTAGCTCTGCCATGTATGTGGACGATTTGGTAATTTGGAGCACCGGGAAGGATGTCCACCGCCTGCAGACGCTATTACAGCAGGACCTTTCTGCTATCAACAGGTACATGCGGCGGTGGCATCAGGAAATTAACACCGAGAAGACGGTCTACTCACTCTTCACAAATGGGCGGACCATTCTCAAACAGGAGATCGAGCTCAAGGTGGGCGATGTAGCGCTAAAGTGGGACAAACAACCGGTCTACTTGGGAGTTAAGCTGGACCAAAAGGTACAAATGCACAATTTTGTACAGGACCTCTGCTCCCAGGCGACCGCCAAGCTTAACCTGGTGAAAAAATTGGCTTGCACAAGTTGGGGCGCGAACGCAAGTACGCTTAGAGCTCTCTTTCTAAGCAGTGTAAGGTCGGTGATGGACTACAGCATGCCGGTCCAATCCTTTGCAAGCAAGACCGCATTGGAAAAACTGGGCCGAATCCAGAATCAGGCACTGAGATTCATCTGTGGCGCATACAGGACTACTCCCACAGCTGCTGTAGAAGTCTTGGCCAATGTAGAACCACTACAAATTAGAAGGGAAAAATCCATCTTAAATACCGTAGAGAGGTACCGACGGCTCGGTGAAAATGAACCAGCCTTTCAAATGCAAAATAACTGGGTGGGTGGCAGGAGACTAAAGAGGTCCTCTTTCATGCACCAGGTCGTGGAGCTGGAGAGGACAGTTCCCCTGCCCCCAAATAGAGAACGACTGACCCAAATCCCAGTTAATCCGCCTTATGCGGAACCCTCACGCCCCTCCATACATTTGGCCTTGACAGATGCAGCAGTGACGAAACGAAGCCCTGAACATGTACAGAGAGTGGCTGCCCTTGAGACCATGGATGTGTTCACGCACATACCTGTGAAAGTGTTCACGGACGGCTCTGCTGACTTTAGGAAAAAAACTGCTGGGTACGGTGCGCTTATTCAGTACCCAGTAGGTGGACCGCCCGATGAAAAACTCTCCGGGCCTTGTGGGACTACAGCGTCAAACTTTGACGCGGAGCTTATAGCTATGCACAAGGCCTTGGAGAGAGTCCGTGTCACTCTGGAAGGGACGGAGCATGCGGGGCTCGATATTGTCGTCTTCTCAGACTCAAGATCCGCTCTTGAGATCTTGGAGAAGAGACAGGGTACCACAAGCTTGGTCGACGTCATTCACAACGACATATGCAGACTTGATGAAATAGGGTGCAAGGTTGAAATGCAATGGATACCAGGGCATGTCAACATCAGTGGCAATGAGATAGCTGACACTCTGGCGAAAACCGGGGCAGCCCAGCCTCAGCCAGAAGTACCAATGACTTTCTTGGGAGTCAAAAACTGGCTGGCGGACCACTTCAGACAGAAGTGGTACAGGCAATGGGCTGACAACACGACCGCCAGAGGCGTCTATTCGAACTTGCCTACTCCTAGCAAACAAGACCCATGGTGGGGGTTAGGTCGTAGAGTGCAGAGTTTAGTAACGCAGATGCGCACCGAGCACTGCCCCCTGCGCACATATTTCTGGAGGTTGGACAACAACAGAGATCCTACCTGCCGGCACTGCAGCCTGGCCCCAGAGACCTTAGAACATCTGTTGACGGAGTGTCCCGCACTAGATCTCCCGGGGGAAGCCAGGGCGGTTGGAGGATCCTTTGTGAGGGACATGTTGTATGGCTCAGCTCAACAGATGGAGTTGATAGCCAATTTACTAGCCGGGGTCATAAGAGAGTAATCTCAGACCTTCACCAGAATATGTGCGTTAGTTAGTTAGGTGTCTTTTGCGATTATCCGTCAAAACCCATCAGAACAACAATTTTTTGAGACCCGTTAAAAATTGAAAATCCCCAACGTAAGGTACGTTGGTCGCCGTACGAATTAAGTACGTCCCCAGCACGGAAAGACTAATGTGTTGGTACAAGGACAACAATAATACAGCGAACTGTTGCTAACTATATATGGCAACACAAAGCATTAGTGTGACGGTAACCGCGAAACATTGTGGTGATATTTTTAAAAACTTAATAACTTAATTTAGATGACAATCGGCTCTATCAGAAACACAATAATTATTGTTGGTATAACATGTTTTATGAAATTAAGGTCGGGGAGGAAAGACTAGAGACTGTAGGTCGCTTGAAATACCTAGGAGCAATAGTCTCAGAAGAAGGCCCCAAGCCCGAACTGAGGTCCAGGATTGCGCAGACTACAACAGCACTGTAGAGGCTCACAAAATTATGGATCAACAAAAATATAGCCCCCAGCACCCAAATCAGGCTGATGCGCTCATTAGTCCTCTCCATTTTCCTGTATGAATGCGAATCCTGGACATTAACAGCCGATCTTGAAAGAAAAATAAAGGCGATGGAGATGAGATGCTTCAGAATCATTTTTGGCATCTGCTATAGGGACCCTATCTCAAATGATAGGCCTACTGTGAAAGAAATGATTCGTCAGGCAATGGGGGAGTACGATGACCTACTGGTGACTGTGAAAAAAACGCAAACTACAATGGTACGGCCACGTAACAAGGAAACAAGGGCTTGCCAAAGAAATATTGTAGGGCACCACAAGAGGAGGGAGAAGAAGAGGAAGACAAAGAAAAAGATGGGAGGATAACATCAAAGAGTGGACAGGACTAACATTGAGCGATGCTGTGCGCAGTGCAGAAGACAGAGACGAATGGAGGAGGATAGTTCACATGTCATCTGTGGCGCCCAAACGGTCCAAAGTCTAAGCGACATGAGGATGAGGAGGATAGTTCACATGTCATCAGTGGCGCCCCAAGGGTCCAAGGACTAAGGGACATGATGATGATGATGATAACATGTTTTAGGTTGTAATAATATTATAAAAAGCAAAGGGCACTCAGGGGTCTATTATGCATTAATTACCCCCGCCCCCCCCCCTTTTTTTTTCAATCGGTTATTTATTAATATTCACTATGATCTCTTTTTTTATGAACATAGTGTAAATATTGATACTTTCTTCCATCATTCTTCGATGTATGCAGAATGTGTGCGTGAACGAATTTCAAAATATCTCACTATTTCGGCCGAAATTCTCGTTAAGCTTTTGGTTTTGGCTTTGGTCTAAAGCCATTTTAAACTTTCGGCATAGTTTCGGTCGAAATCAGAAAATCACCTTCGGTCGTTCTCTAGTATGAAGTCTTTCTACGTATGTTTCGGATAACTTTTCATTGATTGTTTGTGTTTGCCTTTAAAACAGAATTCCCCAAAACTATCCGTAAGTTCATTCCATAAATGGTGGCTGGGCCTTTTGGAAATACTATATTATTTTAAACATACATAAAAAAATAATCAATACTTATGAACTGTTTAGTTTAATATATATTAAAAAAATATTTTTCAATAATGAAAGTGTGAAAAAGTTTTCCTAGATAAGATTCTTAGTCAAGAAATAACGCTTGAAATATTGATTGGGGACAATACTTGGGATATTGATAAGTCTTGACTCATAAGATGACGGAATTGGACAGAATTTTTGAGCGTTTAATAGCCAATGTTTTAAGATTCTATATTCATTAGAAACGACTTCTAAATAAGAATCTCAGGCGGTCTCTGCGTTACTTAAACGTGACGACATTGTGAGTAAACGTGGTGATAAGTGTAGGACACACCACCTAGCACCAGAGGGACCATTTAAAGCTACGTTCAGATAAATATTACAGAACAAAAATGCTCAAGATATTTATATAACCAGCCATTCAAGAATCTGACCTACGCGTTCGATAGAGAGCTACTGGGCAGCAACAGAAATCAGGATGTAACTAAATCAATCAGGAAACTTGAAGATGCCTCGGTCAAAGCTTGTCTGGAGGTAAATGAAACGAAGACAAAAATATATGATAATGTCGCGAAAGACAACATCAACATAAACAACCACATCTGAATGCTTTCAAAAATCTAGGGGTGACTATAAATGAGGCACAATTAAATAATGACGGAGTTGAAATAAAGGATAGCAGCAGGCAAACGTTCCTATTTCAGCCAACAAAACCTACTAGGAAGCAAAAAGCTCTCAAAGGGAACAACGATTATCAAAAGACCAGTAGTATTTTACGTTAGTGAGACTTGGTCCTTGACCAGAAAAGCAGAGAACATGGTCGATACATGGGAGAGGAAAATCCTCCGGAAAATTTATTGCACGGTGATAGACAATGATTTTTGGAGAACCCGTACAAACCGAGAGCTATATCAAATTTACAAAGACCCTCGCATAGTCGCAACAACATAAAAAAAAAAAAAAAAAAAAAAAAAAAAAAAAAGCCGACCGCTCTGGACAGGGAATATTGAAAGGATGCCGCATTGTAGAGCATCAAATGTAATCTACAGGCAGAAACCTAGAGTAAGACGGCTCCCCATCCGAACAAGACAAAGATGGTCGATGATGTAGAGAAGGACGTACACCAGTTGGGACTTCGCACATGGAGACGGAAAGCCATGGATCGATCCGAATGGAAGGGTGTGGTGCAGCAGGCCAGGTCCATACACTGGCTGTAGTGACACTGATAATGATAATAGCACACAGGGTGGATGGGACTCGTTAACCTTGGATGGTACTCATCTAAGTGAAGGAAACCTTGGATTCAAACCCAGCGATGGAGTCCCGTAGGCGGATAACATTGACACAATTAAACATTCCGACAACTCCTGCGGCGCCACTGGTGCCAAGCTGTATCATCAACATGCTTTTCCCTTGGGTTATCCAGTGGCATGGAGAGAGGCTATTTGATATGTAGGGAACCATCTTATAATCTTAATAATAATAATCCCAGGCCTTGTGGGCTTCGACCTGTGAAGTCTACACCATGATCATTTGCCCTCCCCCCCCTGAATTTACCGGTTTCATTTCAATTGCTATGTTCTTTGGCACCTACAGTAATAAAAAACTTAACAAGCCGACCAAGTTTGTCCCCCCCCCCCATTAAAAAACCCCTAGAAATGACGCCCCTGATGGAGTGTTTGTCACAAGCCAAAGGGTACGTCCCAAGTGGAATTTGACCTCGAGGGTCTGATGTTACTATAACATCTCGCTGAAGCTGTTTCTTCTTCTAGCTCGCAATCCTAGCCTTAGATAAGGAATTGGTATTAATCCTTCTTACATAAGTTCAGTAATTGATCTCTCGTTAAACCAATTACATTATGTCACAAAGTATACCTGGCCGGAAAGGGGATTTTATTCTCTCTATAATGTTATAGCTGCAGAAATTAATAGAAAGCAATTAAGAGTGGTTTCAAATTCTTGAATGGGGGATCCCAACCACTTGTGTAAACTACATCTCAAAGACAATTATTTTAACTTATATTAACATAAAAAAATGTATTCCAAGAAAGTCGAGATTTCCAGTGAACAGGAACATACAAGTCTTCAGGGATTTGGTATGGGGGTTTTACATATTTATTCCGGTTGGAGTTTTTAAAGAATGGTCAATTTTACCATAACTTCCCCGCTTCCAATCTTCCCAAATACATGGTTTGGCGTTCGGTGACGTAGATGTTCTCCAATAGATCCGCGGAAAAAAGACGTATCTGTGGCATTACCCGCGCGTTCTGCATTCAAAGTTTAAACCTCAGTGTAGGTGCGACAATGTTTCGCCGGTGGCACCATCTAAACACTAGGTGGGTATGGCAAAGGCGTCTCTCTATTGTTGTTTTTTTTAGAATCCATTTCTTGGGTATGGGTAATGGACGATTTCTATTCTTTACTTATGTTACGCATTAATATATATTTTTTTTAAAAATGTTTAAGCTCCGTGGATACTCGATATGATTCCTAACAATTATATCATGGTTGTGGTGGTTAAACATACAGCCTTACGCTCAATTTGAGATAATGGTTCAATAATTGCTACATGGCTTTACAAAAAAATCAAAGACATGTTCACTAGGGACACAGTTTTGATAGCACCAGTTTTTTTTCAAAATATTCACTTTAGTACGCATCTTGTCATGGAATAGGAGCTTGTCTCATGCAAGGCTTTGATAACAAACAGAGACAATATCTATACTTAAGTAGATCTTTAAGTAAAGCATAATTTTTATCTAATTCATAATGGATCGTATAATAAAAATTGTCATGAAGTTTTTGGAAAAACAGGTTGTGTTAAACAATTTCTGCTACTAGGCTTATATACTATTTATGTTAATAAACAGGAGTATAATGTGTTACGTTTTGTAAGTGAATAGTCAATTATGTAAGGAAACACTATTATGAGAACGTAGCGATGTGATTGTTCATTTTATGTGTTTCAGTAAAGATGGGTACATTTAATTATTTAATACTCAAAATGGAGTATTTTGGACGTGGAGCTGCTGGATATTTTCTCATAATCTTTCTTTGTTAGTTTGAAATCGAAAGGTCAAGCAAACAAAAAATGTTCATCGTCTTCGACCCTGTTTTTGAATTGTGGTTTTGCAATTCCCGGACATTTTTCAAGGAGTAAAAACGGTTATTTCCATTCACGCCATATAACTTAAAACAACATACAATAAACGTATAGTTTGAGTGTATAGTTATAATGGCATGTGTGTTCTTTCTAACTCAGATTGAGGTGTTAAAAAGGAATTGATCACATAACACGACGGGTCACAGGACATAATGGCGATGACAAGACACTTATTAAAGGCATCCTTCAGGCAGTTGACTTCTGGACAAAGGGTACTACCAGTGCGAGCTGCATCCACGGTGAATGTTGGAACCGACCAGGTTGAGGCCAGGCCGTTTGAGGAGATGCCAGGTCCTAAAGGGATCTACCAATGGCCTGTCATCGGCGCAATACTGCATTTTAAACCATTCAGTAAGTCTTAAGGAGAAAAATTCCCGAAATGTAAGCATCAAGAAGAGCATGGGAAGATCATGATATGATCTTCAAAATGTCATGAAATTCGATCTTTAAAATTTAAGACATACGATCTTTAAAATGTTATGAAATTTTATATTTTAAAAATTATGAAATTTAATCTTCAACATGGTAAGAAATAGGATTTTTTAAAAAAAGAAATAGATCTCAGTTACAATTAGACATTGAGTGAGTGGACAAAGCAATTTTAGCAATAGTAATTATAAATTAAATTTTAGTTATACTTAAAATTGTACCACTTTTTTTTATAAGGCTAAATTTTATTCTTTACTTTTAAATATAGTTTTAAAAGTAAAGCTCTAACTGCCTGTTCCAACAATGCTTAATTTCTTTTTCAGTGGAACAGGGGAAGGGGGCTAGGAGGGAGTCATTGTGACTTAAGACTTGGCGTACATTCTCGTCCTTAAGTTGAGCTCGTCTATAAGTCAAGTTCATGTTTTTTTACCAAAAATTATTAAATATGCTAAGACTGGTGGATAAGTGTCAATGGTAAATCTAAGGGGCATGAAATTTTGTGATTTTTAAAATCTACCCAAATTTTACTTAAGAGCAATCGCTGCACTGTACTATAAACTATGACTGGTATCATTAGGCCTACGCCTACACTCTCTCGCGGTCGGTGGTGTCTGCTGACATGACTGCGATTATCATTTCAGTGTTCTCTATCCTCCCGACGATCGGAGAGGGGCTGACGGACATTGGTATCATATTTCAGATAAGAATAAACAGCTGTTTTTTGGTCTCTTTCTGTGTGATTGTGTGCACTGTGTATCCGGTATCTGGTTCACGGTACAGCTACCGGTTAGTACACTAGCACTACCGGTAACGTGTCGGTGCTGCCGACATTCAATCGCAACTAGCACTAACCCGTGGATAAGTCGACCCTTTGATTTAAAATGAAGTTTACGACTAAACAATTTAGAGTTTTTACACGAATATATACGGTAATGAGTTTTCTTAATAACTATCGCCCATAAAACTTTAATGAAAGAAAAATAAATAAATAGATAACAGAATTATGATGTAGAATATCTAATTTGTTTTTATTTTAAACATTTGTAAAAACACGTGTCTAATGATTATTTAAAGGGATCATTCAATGGCAGCTCATAATTACGGCTTAATGAACAGTGTAAACTCCAGATGTCCGAAATATCTTAGTACAACACATTTAACAATGTTCACCTTGCGTGTCAAAGATTTGTTTAAACAAGAACATATTAAGTACTAGTCGACCCGCGAGGTAGCATACGTCGAAGAATTGCTCATAGTTGAGTGAGGACTTCGTGAAAGACACAGTTGTCCAAACGGGGTGGGTTTGAGGATACAACTGTGATTGCGTGAAAAGATGGAACTCTGGAGAGAGCTACATACAACTCTCCGTGACTGAAGACCGGTTTTGGTAGATAGAGGCATATCTTTTTGAAACTTTGTCCCTGTGCCTTATTAATTGTCATTGCAAGGGATAATCTAAGACGAAATTGTCGCCGTGTAAAAGTAAAAGGTAAATTTGAATCTGATGTTGTGAGGGAAATCCGGGAAATAAGGACAGCTTTTGCGGTAGCAGCTGCAATAGTTGGACACTCCAGCACATTGCAGTGATTGTTGGTAACAGTCAGTCTAGTGCCATTACAGAGAACTCTTGCTGGCATGAGGTTTCTGAGAAGCATGACAACTGAACCAATTTTAATTTTGAGTTTAAGCGGAGGCCTGCCAGTGGGAGTAAGACTGTTTATAAATTGTTCGGGGAATGACAGTTGATCTGCGGGATCGTGTGTGACGATGGAGTCAACACTCGTGAAAGTTACTTCGTCGGTAGGGATAAGTTTCAAAACTTCTTCATTAAGATGTAGAGAGTCTTCTTTGGTGACGCTTAATATAGCTCGCGTACTGAGTTGTTCCGGAGTGAAAGTTGAGAAGTCGATGTTACCTTATAGTTGTTGAACGGGATTAGAATTAAGAGGAAAACAATATGAAAGTAATTTAACAAATGTTCCATTTTGTTCGTCTCCTGCACTGAGGAGCCATTAGGCGAAATCTTGTTCGTGAGGAAGAGCTCTCATTTTTGTTGTCAGTGTAAGGACATGCATGTTACGCCAGAAAGGATGTTTGTTAATGCAACCGGCGACAGTAAATGCTCGGGAGCCACGCATAATGATGGCGAGGATTGTCGGAAATCCCCACCCAATAGAACTGTTTTGCCTCCAAATGGCTGCGTGTCCCCCGTGAGGTAACGTAATAACCTGTCAACTGCCTGGAATGGGTATGCATGTGTCATTGGGGCCTCGTCCCATATTATCACTTTGGATTTGAGAAGATGTTGAGCGTGAAGTGAAGCATATGGAAGTAGTGGTCAGCTTCAAGGGTATTTTAAAACCGAAATGTGCATTACGTCCACCTGGTAACAATGTTGCAGCTATTCCTGTCGATGCTACCGTTGTAGGAATGTCTCCCCCTACCTCTGATGGTATGAATTAGGGTTTTGTAGAAGAACGTTTTGCCTGTTCCTGCAGGACCATCTAAGAAGATGCATGCTTGTCACGGATGGGAATGGCTGTATGCAGCGTATAGAACAGTGTCAACAGCGTGTTTTTTTCTGTGTTGAGTTTGTTGGAGTGTTCCGTAGCGAGGGGCTGTTGAGCATGAGCGTCGAAGTAGGGCGATGAATAAGACAATGGAAGAGTGTCAATGACGGGTAGTTGTAAGTTTTGGAGGCTCAGGCCATGTAGTTGAAGCATGTTATTAATTTCCGCGAGAGTATACATGTAAGCGGTGTGTGTCGAATGTTCACTTCACAAACTATGTATTGTTACAATAAAATATCTTTATTACACATTAACCACCATCTTGAACTGCAATTACTCACAAGACCACACTACACAATAATAATACGTCATATCCCTTTTCGTGCAATACGTCACAAAATATCAAACATTTAATGAGAATAACTTCCCATCTACTAAAGTTACTTGACAAAAAATGAACTCAAGTAACGCACATTTAAGAATCTCAGTGTTTCGCTACACCCCTTCCCCCCATGATACGTCACTGCACACTTTTTATTTCACGCCCATGAACTATATTGATATTCTCATGTCCCAACCACTTTTAAACCGAATATTTTTTACACAATACTTAACTTGAGACGATTTCGGACCGAAAAGAAAATATTACGCACCAAACGCAATTGCGTTACTAAAAAATTATATCATATATAGCGTAGTTATCGGGAATTATATTTTGCGCGCTAGTGAACTCATTATTGAACCACACTCTGGCGTATCTATAAAAAGCCTGCGTTTTGTTTGACCCGTCTTGTTTGACCTTTGCTGGTGATTTTATATATATATATATAAGATTTTGAGCTATATTATTGCTTGCCGCATTATTATGAACAACAAAAAATTCTCTTTATTTTATTTTTAGCCAAGTACACGCCAGAATCATTCCAGTCTTTGATAAATCAGTTGTTTGATACACACGGTCCAATCTTCAAAGCCAATTTCGGTTTTAAGTCAATTTGGGTATCAAATCCCGCTGACTTTGAGACCGTGTACAGGAATGAAGGAAAATACCCACAACGGACCCCCCTTGGGCTTTCTGTGCAATATTTTAAGAGGAATAACCTGAAGATGGACATGAGCTCAATGTAAGTCATCGGAGATCGGAGTTTTAAACTATATTAAAAAATAGTATGAATACATTGCAAATTGCTGGAGTTTGTTGCAATGTACTTCTTACCTTGGAACGTTTACATGACATTTAAAACGTGCAGCTTCACTAGGTAAAGTCACATCAATACATTTAGAAAGTATAGACAAAGTCACTTCAAGACATGTAAAAATTATAGGAAAAGTCATATCTAGAAATTCAAACATTTACATATGTTTCAAACGGGGCAGTAAAGTATTTTTAAACGCATGAGATTATAACGGTACGACTGGAAATATTTGCTTTTTATCAGCACGTGATCAATTTAAGCACTTGAAAAACGTCTACCAGCTATTTCTGAAACTCGAGAGTTTGTTCGACGTTACGCATCGCATGAGTCTTGGATTTCATGAGATGGTGTGCAAGCAAGCGGGGTCTCTGGGAGATAACACAATCACCTTACAGTTAACAATCTAAGCCCTTATGCATGTATGCATGCACTATGTTAACTCACTTTTGGTGCTGGTGAGCATTAACAAATAATTTGGATGGATCTGGGCCCAAGCAATTTTATCTGAATCTCTCAATGTAGGACTACCCATTTTAGGAATTGGGCATTGTAAGGTATATACTGAATCTCAAAATGTTTTAATTATGCCCTCATCATGATCGAATATAAGTAAAATGTATTTTGCTGTCTTAAGTGATAAGTAGAATTAAACTGGTTTTGTTGACACTAACATTATTAGGATTCAAAAAGACTTAATGTCTCTACATTAAACCACATTCTCCCCCCCCCCCCAAATTCTGTGTCACACCAAAAGCAATGGAGAAGAGTGGCACGCACTACGTACTCCACTCAACAAACGACTGATGAAAGCTGACTTCAAAAAAACTTAATGTCTCTACATTAAACCACATTCCCCCCCCCCCCCCCAAATTCTGTGTCACACCAAAAGCAATGGAGAAGAGTGGCACGCACTACGTACTCCACTCAACAAACGACTGATGAAAGCTGACTCGGCCTTATATTACCTGGGGCCGCAAAACGCAGTGGCTGATGACTTTGTCAAGATACTTGAGTCACGTGACCTGAAAGCTGTGGACCAGGCTGACCTGTTCTATCGCTACGCCTCAGAAAGTAAACGTTTTTCTGTTAGAAATAGCGAAAGAAGATTTGAGTTGTGTCCCTTCAGTTTTACTCAAACACTTTATGTAAAAAATAAATAAATGAAATAAAAACTTAATGATTTTATTTCTCAGTTCATCTTTATGTACATTTATATATTTATGGTCATCCTAATACCTCATATACGTATTACAAAATTACATTGTCCACCGTGTCGTCATGTCCAAGGTATTGGAGTTGTGACGTTCAACCAGCGCCTGGGATATCTAGGTGGCCAAGTGGACGAAGATTCGGAGAGGTTTCTGGAAACCACCAAAAGTATGTTTCAACAGATGGGCATCTTTATATCCGGCAAAGCACTCTCTCCAAACTGGTACAGAACTTCATTTTACAGAGAGTACGAACGATCATATAATCTCCTGTACAGGTTGGAAATTGTACTGTTTGTATGTGGTGTCATGTACAATTTTTTAATGTATTGTTTGGATATATATATATATATATATATACACACACACACACATATATATACATATATATATATATATATATATATATTGTACAGGCTGGCGAATGTATGATTTGGATAAGAATTTGAAGATACGTGACTTTTTTCTGTCGTGCATTAAATATAAACAAACAAGTTTGTTGTTTTCTAATTGAAGAGAATCTAAGTGTCTTCTTGTTTAAAATAATATACTTTATAAAATGTATCAATTCACTTTTATCTTGATTCTTTATTTTAAGAATATTACATAAATATCCTATTCTGTCAGGAGAATTCCTGAATTATAGTATACTTTTTATTATGCAAACGTATCATTTATAAGTGTTTAAAAAATGAAATAATTTCCAGAGTCTCGGATAAACACGCGCGAAAAGCCAAGGATCTCATTGAACAGAAGACAAGGGACGGAACTCTGAATACAGATGAGCCTAACTTACTTCTCTCCCTTGCCTCAGAGAAAGGGCTTTCCGAAGCTGACGTCAGTAACATTATGCTCTCAATGTACTTTGCTGGGACAGACTCGGTGAGTACTTTTTTTTCGGATGTCTATTGTAGATGAGTGTTGATTGATGCAGTGAGTATCTCGTATTCATTTTTTTAGTAGTGTGGTGTTCATTGATGCAATTGTATTTTGTATTGGAATATTTTTTTTTTTTTAGTGGGGCGTTGAATGATTCAATGATTATTTTTAAATATTCTCTTTTTACTCGCATTTCCATCTGGTTTTCAAATCGTAATTTCTTTGTTGACACCAGTGACTCTATCGCTCAGTTGATCGTTGTTCATCGCGCCCGCTTCGTTCAGTGAACGGCTGGAGAAGGGTGGGTAGGGGAGCGCGTTCCGTTATACTGTATCGTGGGAGGCGAATTGACCCTGTCGCTCAAAGTATCGTGGTTGACCGCGTTTACTTCCTTGCGTGAAGGGCGGTAGAAGAGTGGGTGAGAGTTCTTTTTAGCTTGATGCCTAGATAAAGAGATAAGTCACATTGACCGGTATTTTGTAAGCACTCATTATTTAACAAAGTAAATAAATCTATTTTGGTGTATAATTTAAAAATTACAATTTAATGCTAAAAAGAAGAAGAAAAAAATATATTTAAAAAAAATAGACTTTCTATCGAAAATAAAATGAAACGCACTCGATTATGGAAAATAATTTAAATTGTCTTTAAATTTTACATGCAAAGAAAGTCTGTGCAGAAAGAATTTAAAATATAAGAATACTAATTTATTACATAAACATATTTAGTTCGTTTACATTCATTTCGTATTCTTTGGCTGCATAGACTGCTCATAATACACTTCTGCACAATCTTTCTTTGGCTGCATAGACTGTTCATAATACACTTCTACACAATCTTTCTTTGGCTGCATAGACTGCTCATAATACACTTCTGCACAATCTTTCTTTGGCTGCATAGACTGCTCATAATACACTTCTACACAATCTTTCTTTGGCTGCATAGACTGCTCATAATACACTTCTGCACAATCTTTCTTTGGCTGCATAGACTGCTCATAATACACTTCTGCACAATCTTTTTTTTGCTGCATAGACTGCTCATAATACACTTCTACACAATCTTTCTTTGGCTGCATAGACTGCTCATAATACACTTCTGCACAATCTTTCTTTGGCTGCATAGACTGCTCGTAATACACTTCTGCACAATCTTTCTTTGGCTGCATAGACTGCTCGTAATACACTTCTGCACAATCTTTCTTTGGCTGCATAGACTGCTCGTAATACACTTCTGCACAATCTTTCTTTGGCTGCATAGACTGCTCGTAATACACTTCTGCACAATCTTTCTTTGGCTGCATAGACTGCTCGTAATACACTTCTGCACAATCTTTCTTTGGCTGCATAGACTGCTCGTAATACACTTATGCACAATCTTTCTTTGGCTGTATAGATTGCTCATAATACACTTCTGCACAATCTTTCTTTGGCTGCACAGAGTGCTCATCGTATCCTTTGGCTGCATAGACTGCTCGTAATACACTTCTGCACAATCTTTCTTTGGCTGCATAGAGTGCTCACCTAAGCCAGCTATGGTCACACGCGAGACTAGCTTAGTCACGAAATCTCGGATTTGGGTCATTTATTTTGAATGAATATTAAGTAATTAATTAAAAATTCCGACAATAGCCGTGTGGTATAGATGAAAACTAGTTTCAGCTTTGAATGAAGCGCAAGTGACCAAGTCGTGGCTCATAACATGCAATTAATATCGGGGGTTCATATACAAAATTCAAAGTGTAAAATGAATAAAACAGAGTAGGGTTAAACCTGAAAAAAGAAAGGCAACAAAACAACGAACGTGTCGGCAGAAAGCCTTCGTCAGCGAACAAAACAACAGAAAAAACGGTATAAAAATAAAGATAAGAAATATCACTTAGCTTGGACGTAGCATCAAAGTTTCAAAGTGGTTGAATAAGAGAGTGATCACGTGTACAAACATTATGTAAAACTCAAAGGAAATTCATTTATGTGTCCATGTCTAAGTAGAAATTTAAAAAAAAAATTAATTACACATATATTCAAAGTAGAGATAGATTAAACAATACATGTTATTAAGTATAGCAGAAGAAAGAAAGAAAAGGGCAGGCTACGCTGGGCGGGACGCGTAGAAAGAATCCCAAATGACAGAAGGAGCGAAGAAGGTGCTGGGTGGCCAAGCAACCCGGGTGGATGGGACTCGTTAGTCTTGGACGGCAACCCATCTTAGAGAAGGCATACTCTGAATTTAAACCAGGAACCCGAATGATCAACAAATTGATCGTGGGCCCCTCAAATATAAGAAGAAGATAAACATTAGGTTTATATAGATGGATGTGGAACAAGATCTACAGCAGATGGGAGCCCAAGCATAGAAAAGAAAAAGCATTAGTTTGGTCCTGAATTGAAGGAAGTATTGAGGCACACAATATCTAGCGCCACAAGGATGGATGATATTTATAGTATTTCAAAGAAAAAGGTTACATTATATTAATAGCTAAAAAACACTTTAAATTTAAGAACAGATTATATAATAAAAGATTGTTTTGAACACTAAGAATAAATTATTTATTTTCTTCTTATCAGAATTATTGCATGTAGTCATGTGGCTAGTCCACATGGAGTCATGTGGGTAGTCCACATGGAGTCATGTGGGTATTCCACATGCTAAATCTAGAGGGGGATTTTAATTTCAAACAATCTTTATTTAATTTTATTCAACATTTCCTCATAATATCAATGCCTATTTCGATCTGAAATTCTTTTTTTTTTCTTTTGATAAGACATAGTCAAGTAGAACATTTTCTGTTTTGTGATTTAGACGGCAAAAAACCTGCAGGTCTTTTTCTATAACTTGGCCAAGAACCCAGACAAACAAGAAATTCTGAGAAAGGAAATTTTGGAGGTCATTGGCGACAACGGTCCCGTTACGGACCATGCTCTCGCTAAAATGACTTATTTGAAGGCATGTCTTAAAGAATCTTTCAGGTGAGTGGGCGTTAAATTTATGTTTAGTCAAATTTAATATTTATTTACTTTTTTGGTTAATGTTTTTGCAATTTACATGATTTATCTGAGCCTCTGCGCTCATCTGTTTGTACAGTTGACTTTAAGTCATTTTTTAAAACGTTTCTAAAATAGAATAGACAGCGAGAAATTAATCCATCATGTTTAAAAAAGAAGAAGTTTTCCATTTGCGCTTGCAGATTAAACTATCCACTAATAACTGGAACTGTTAGGATTCTACCCGTCGATGTCGTCCTCAGTGGATACAAAGTTCCAGCTGGTGTAGGTGTAATGTTTGTATTTAATAATTTAATGGATTTCACATAAGGCATGCTTTAACTAAGTTGACAAAAATAGATTCATAAATACCAGAAAGTTTGTAAGGTTGATTATTAAGGAAACCGCGAAACAATTTCACAAACAGGAATCGGACATAAAATATTAGTATCATGACTATTTCTTTATTTATCAAACTGTAATCATGTTCAGCCCCAGGCCCGCCAGACTCATAACTTGACTTTTTTTTTTAGCAAATTCTAACCATGTTCAACCCAAGGCCCGCCAGATTGAACTTTGAAGATCCAGACAAGTTTTTACCAGAACGATGGCTCAGGTCCAATGAAAGCAGGAAACAGGACTCCACCAATAAAATGGCCGTGCTGCCATTTGGTCATGGTCCGAAAAACTGCGCTGGTCGACGTTTTGCTGTTCAAGAAATGTATCTGGCCACTGCTAAGGTATTGGGTTTGTTTGATGGCTCAGCACATTGATTTTTATAGCTGTTACATCTGAATGCTTTTTCAGACAAATGGCAAGTCCAAGTATTTAGAGAAATAAAAAGTCCCAGTATTCAGAGAAATGGCAAGTTACAGTATTCAGAGAAACGGCAAATCGCAGCATTCAGAGAAATGGTAAGTCTCAATATTCAGAGAAATGGCAAATCACAGCATTCAGAGAAATGGTAAGTCACAGCATTCAGAGAAATGGCAAGTCACAGTATTCAGAGAAATGGCAAGTCACAGCATTCAGAGAAATGGCAAGTCACAGTATTCAGAGAAATGGCAAGTCACAGCATTCAGAGAAATGGCAAGTCACAGTATTCAGAGAAATGGCAAGTCACAGCATTCAGAGAAATGGCAAGTCACAGCATTCAGAGAAATGGCAAGTCACAGCATTCAGAGAAATGGCAAGTCACAGCATTCAGAGAAATGGCAAGTCACAGCATTCAGAGAAATGGCAAGTCACAGCATTCAGAGAAATGGCAAGTCACAGCATTTAGAGAAATGGCAAATATCAGCATTCAGAGAAATGGCAAGTTACAGTATTCAGAGAAATGAAGGGCCCCAGTATTAAAAAAAATGAAGAGTCCTTCTATACAGACACATTAACAGTCACTGTATTCGTCGTAATTGCCATTGCGAGAATTCCTAGTAATTGCTAGTCCCAGTATTCAGAGAAATGGCCAGTCCCAGTATTAAGAGAAATGGCATGTCACAGAATTCAGAGAAATTGCCAGTCCAGGTATTCAAAGAAATTGCCAGTCCCAGTATTCGGTTTTGAAATATATTAGTGTTTTATACATTAATAAGATTAATCATTTACTTAAAAACAATTAATCTATCAATTTGTGCCCTAGGGCTCCTGCTCTTAAGCAGTTTTCCATTTCAAAAAACATATGCTCTCAAACAGTTGCCCAATTCGAAGAAATTCAGTTATCAAACAGTTACCCATTCCAAAGAATATCAGCTCTCAAGCAGTTTGTCCATTTCATAGAACATCAGCTCCCAAGCAATGGTTCATGCCAAAGAACTTTGACTAATGCTTTTTTAAAAAAGCTCTCCATGCCTAGACATTATTTTAAGATCATGTTTGATCTTTTTCAGGTGGTCCAAAAGTTGAAGATTGAGTTAGAGCCCGAATCCTGGAACACAAAGTTCAAGTACTCAATGTTCATTGAACCAGAAAAACCTTTGAAATTTAAATATTCAAAACTTTAAACTGCCATCGTTGTAAAAGAAAACTAAGAATTCTATTAAAAATCCCTTTATTCTATTATGAAAATAAATAAGATATTTAAATCATAAATATGGATTACTGAAAAGGTGTCACCCATACACCCCAGACCTTTCACAGGCACAAAATCCCATTCCAACAATTTAACTGAACGAATGAAATTTGTTCGTGCATTACATGAATTAAAAAAAAAATTAATTTAATGTTTATAATACCATACTTGTACCTATAATTGTGTTAAGTTTATGTAAAACAAATATGGTAATATATAAATTGAGTGAATTTTTCGTTTGTTCCAAGCGTGAACAAATAGGAAAATGACCAAGGCAGTGGCTAATTGGGATTTATAAATTATAATTGGTATTTTTATAAACCTTTAGCGTCGTCCATGTTAACGAAGAGCAATGGAGACAGATGCGACGATATAAAAAAAAATAATAAAAATTTTAACATTCATTTTAACGCATGAGAATCAATCTTTTATCTTTGAATTTCTTCAAAAAAAAACAAAACAAGTCTAATGCCTATACAAGTCAAAGTATGTGTGATTGTGATCCCCTGGCGTAGAGGTAAAAAGGGGGGCGGGGGGGGGGGAAGGGTGCGATGTTTAATCAAGATAAGTCACTGCTGTGCGTCTTTTTGGTGTACTCTGTTTTTATTTGGATTTTTTTCTATGTATACGGAGCGATGATTTTTCAAAATAGTAAATGAACAAGAGCAAATTAAAAAAATAAACAAACCAAAAAAAAAAAAGGAGAAACAAAAATAATAAGAAAAAATTACAAAAAAAAAATGTCTTTTTGGTGTACTCTGTTTTTATTTGGATTTTTTTCTATGTATACGGAGCGATGATTTTTCAAAATAGTAAATGAACAAGAGCAAATTAAAAAAATAAACAAACCAAAAAAAAAAAGGGTTAAACAAAATTAATCAGAAATAATTACAAAATAAAAAGGTTCGCTGTTTAATGCAGCAATTTTCTGTAAGTCTACGGATATACTTATTGTAATCATGTTAAGACCTAACAGTTTAGTGCTTGGAATAATGGGGGGTGGGGCTGCTCTATATTAAAATTATCACATTGTTAAGTGGCGTGCATAAGAGGTACTTTGGCAAAACAATGGTTTTTCCAGAAATTGCGGTTCTTTTATTAACTTTTTTACCAACTTAATAATTTATATGTTGTTCATCAGTCGGGGGTCGACCATGACCACTTTGTGCAGTATGTGCAGGGGAATGATGGGTCATCTCCGGGAGCAGAGTCAGACCGGGCCGTCCTTCCATGTCTCTTGCGCTCTCCGGCCGCTGTTCTGCCAACTTCATGTTGCATGGAACTCCCTTGCAACGCCATGAAGTTCGATCCTTTGCTTTTTCCTCCCACGTGTCTGGGTTTACGTTGAACGCTTTCAGTGAGGCTTTTATGTTGTCTTTAAAGCATTTTTTCTGTCCGCCAGCAGACAGACCGCTTTCTTTGTTCAATCTCAATATAGAAAATTTATATACTATGTGTGGGGAAAGGACATGTGCAAAAACTTTTTTCAGACCTATCAGCTTTCAGTCTGACTACGCCCCTGCATTGGTGGGTTCATTTCATAAGTAGACCCATGTCTCAAGGGACCCGATTTGTTACACGCGTGACCATTTAAATCCATTTTTTCGATTTCTTATTTTTTATAATCTCAAAAAATGTCCATGTAGTAGATTCATTACTTGTATGCCTCTTGTATGCCACTCACAATATGTTTCTGTCTAAATTTTATAAATGACACGCATGACTCGCGAGTGCCACACATACAGTGACAGTGACAAGCGGTGCAAGACACTCGACAATGAAAAACCACCGTGATTTGTTAATTGGTTGCACGTCTTGAATTTGAATAAAGGACTTATTTTTGCGATCTATTAAACTCAGATTTCAAATGTTCTTTAATGGATCTTTCTGTTGTTATATTTATCTTATTTTCATGGAAGGTGACAATTTGTCTGCATGTCTGTTTGTTCCGCATACTGTGCCTCGTGGATCTTATATGTACAGTTATTACACTTATTTATCCAGAAGGAAATATTGACTATGTTACAATATTAAAATAATATCCTGTTCAGAGCAAGGGGGCCAAAATGTCCCTTTTTTCCATATATGAGTTTAATAAAGTGACTAAAATAAATTGAAAGATCTAGACATGCATATGCGGGTATACATACAGTTGAACATGCAAGTTAAATTACCGGATGGTTTCTAACTTATAATATTTGCACCTTTTGTGGGCAAGTAGCCTTGATTTCATTGTTCATTAGATAAGCCATGACAATAGCAGCTGGCAAAAAACCTTAGATTACAATATAGGGTTTCAGGTGAATTGTTGGATGTAGACTAAACTTGGTAAGAATGTGCTTAACACATCATACAAAAATAAAGTTGGATTCTAAACTAACAACATCCTGAGACCTCATATTTGTCTAGAATTATTTAGAAAGTTTTATACTGTTCCACGTGGATGTAAACATCATAAAAATGGCAGTGAGTTCAACATTTTTTTTTAGGAATTTTAGTTCAGTTATAAATACAACTATACTTTCCTTGTAATTTCTGGGTATTGGTGACTTGACATTTCATTGGTCCCTTGACGTTTCTAGAACGTTAAAATTTGTAAAATGTTTTTAAGATTATATAAATGTTCCTTTTATGTTTCTTAAGTTTCAACAAGTTTCTATGATTTCCTTTAAATTTTCTGTAATCGGATCAAATGTTATGTAATCAGATAAAATTTTGTGTAATCAGGTCAAATGTTATGAAATGAAATCAAATATGTAATCAGATCAAATGTAATGTAAACAGGTCAAATAATATGTGATCAGATCAAATGTAATGTAATCAGGTTAATTTTTATGTAATTAGATCAAATGTAATGTAATCAGGTTAATTTTTATGTAATTAGATCAAATGTAATGTAATCAGGTTAATATTTATGGAATGAGATGAAATGTTAGGTAATCAGATCAAATGTTATATAATCAGATTTGAAGAAATTTAAAAAAAAAATATTAAAAGCTTAAAATTAGTGTAAGAGATTCTAAATTGTATTTTCTTACATTAGCCAAAGGCGTAGTTGTAAGCTTCTCAGTGAATTACTGCATCTAGGCCACTCTTGGTTAGGATATAAGGGAAATGGGGGGGGGGGGCATTTTATTTTATTCAAAACACTAATCTTTGACCTTTCCAACTGCTGTTAACAGGAAAACATTTAAGTTAACGTTAGTTCGGTATGTAACATAAAACTACTCATTTAGTGTAACATAAAACTACTCATTTAGTGTAACATAAAACTACTCATTTAGTGTAACATAAAACTACTCATTTAGTGTAACATAAAACTACTCATTTAGTGTAACATAAAACTACTCATTTAGTGTAAGATAAAACTACTCATTTAGCGTAACATAAAACTACTCATTTAGTGTAACATAAAACTACTCATTTAGTGTAACATAAAACTACTCATTTAGTGTAACATCAAACTACTCATTTAGTGTAACATAAAACTACTCATTTAGTGTAACATAAAACTACTCATTTAGTGTAACATAAAACTACTCATTTAGTGTAACATAAAACTACTCATTTAGTGTAACATCAAACTACTCATTTAGTGTAACATAAAACTACTCATTTAGTGTAACATAAAACTACTCATTTAGTGTAACATAAAACTACTCATTTAGTGTAACATAAAACTACTCATTTAGTGTAACATTAAACTACTCATTTAGTGTAACATAAAACTACTCATTTAGTGTAACATAAAACTACTCATTTAGTGTAACATCAAACTACTCATTTAGTGTAACATAAAACTACTCATTTAGTGTAACATAAAACTACTCATTTAGTGTAACATAAAACTACTCATTTAGTGTAACATAAAACTACTCATTTAG